CTAGAGCAACATTAGCACGAAAAGTATAGTGCTAAACAATAACAAAGATAGTAATACAAGAATTATTCTAGAATGGACAATATTTCAAGGGTAAATGCTAGTAAAAATCGGGCAAGGGGTAGTGCTGATCTTTGGGCGAAAATCAAGTGTAACAATATTATAAAAGGTTATTATTTATAGATTTTTAAATATTACTAAATTATATTAGATTTTATTTTTATATTAGCTTGTTGTTATTAACTATTAACTTGAAAATTTATTTGTATTCAGACTAATATGTTATAGTACTATTAGTTATTGTTATATATTAAATTCTATTTTTAACTAAAAATGTATTAAGGAAAAGTTTGAAGAGAAGAAAGTAAAAGTAGTATTTATTTAGACAAATAAAACTCTATAGAAAAATTTTCTAAATTTTACTATTTGCAAATAGATATACTATTTAATTTTTATGTTTTTAAAGCTATTTAAAATATTTAAGAAACTTATTTCACAGATTTACTGCTTATAAATTGTTTTAGCTATTGGTATTTATTACTGTTTTGATTATCTTTCTAGGATAAGTAATTATTAGAGTAATCTATTACTGAATTAGAATAAAGTTTTTTTAAAAATTTGTAAAAAAAAATATTAGATATTATAAGAAAATAATTAATAAATTATTTTTTTTAAAAAGTGAACATCTTATATATTTTACAATTTCTGATAATTATTATATTATCTATTAAATAATTATCATGTTATAATATTTTATTTAAAAATTACAATCTTAATATTTACTAAATTAGTATATAAAATGACTTTTTATAAAAAACAATACTCTTAACAAGTTATAATACCAGATATTATATTAATTCTATTCAATTGCTCTTATATGTGATTGAATTAGTATCTTGTAATTTGATTTATAAAGTATTAATTACTGTATTATAGATCTACAGGTTATAATAATATAATATTATAAAAAAAAATCAATTTTATTTATTTATTATTAATTTTTTAAAAATTCTTTTTTAAAAAACACTTTGCTCTCTTTATTTCTTTAAAGTAAATAAGTTTTAAATTCTAAAATACTGTATAAGGACTTTAAGAAATACTATTATATTAAAATAAAATTTTTGATTAAGATTTAAACAAGTTGAGAATCTTTTTTAATTTTTGATTATAAGAAAAAAGACTTATAACAGTTCTACTTTATAATTTGTTTTTAGGTATTTTTTTAAATATAACTATTATAATTACTTTTTTTTTTTATATAACAAAAATATTTTTAATTATATATTTAAATAAAATTAATGAATTTAATATTTGTTTTAATATAATTTTAATAAATTTTTTTTGTTAAAATTAATATTACTTTTTACTACATTTATTTTTTTTTATATATTTTTTTCAATTATTTGAAAAACCATATTTAGCTTAACCTATTAAAATCTATATATAAATAACAATCAATTAAATTTTTTTACTTTTTAAACAATAAAACTATTTATACAAAAAAAATAAGTATCAAAATATTTTTTAATAAATAAATGTTTTATTATCTTGTTTTTTTTATAAGTTATAATATTATTAAAGTTATTATTATATTTAATAAAATATATAAGAATTATATATCTTGTTTATATTTTTTGTTAATTAATCAATTCAAATTTTCAATCAATTATTACTTAAAAGTTTTAATACAATCAAAAGAGTTAAATTGAAATAAGTAAAATTTTTCAAAAAAATTAAGAAAAAAATTTATATATTTGAAAATAAAAAAAAGCTTGAAAAAAAATAAAAAAATCAAATAGCTATTTTTTTAAAAATTTTGAAAAAAATTTTTTTTTTTCAAAATATTTTTTAACGTTTTTTTTTAATAAAATATTTTTATCTTTAATTTGTAAATAGATTTTTTTTTTATATTTACTTGCAAAAATACTTCAAAATGAAAAAAAAAAACAAGTGAAATAAGATTAAAGTTTTTAAATAGTAGTATTGTTAAGGAAAGTATATAAATTTTATTACAACAAAACATAAAATTTCTTTAAACATTTGTTTTTTAATAAAGAATTAGCAAAAAAAGGTTTAAGTTCATATACCATTATATTAAATATTAGATATTTAAAATAATTAATTATTTATTTAATTTACAAGTCAATACAAAAAAAAAAAAAATCGATAAAACAACATAATTTTATATTTTCAAAACAAACATAATATAAGCTTTAATAATTTAATATAATAAAATTAATAAGACACAGCTAGTTTCATTAATTCCAGAGCATAATTTGAACTCGAGCATAAGCAAATCATAAATATGCCAACTCATTGATATTCGATACCAATAAAAAAATTAAAACCAAAGATCAAAATTTTAAATAGCGTTATATATAATTTTATAAATATTAATGACAATAATAACAATTTATTTTTTATAATAGCAATAAATTTATTTTGAATTAATTTTAATATTAACATAACAATGTTAAAGTGATTTCGCGTTCGAGTTATAATTGATTTTACACTTGTGCAATGTTTAAATTACTGAATAATATCAAAAATCATTATTAAATTATATAAGGAAAAATTACTTGTGCAACAAATAATCGGGTCAATCTCTAAGGCTCGATCGTTTGTCAAGGATCTGAGATATCCAACTGGAAAGCACGATCATTACCACTTACTGCAAAAAAAAATAATAATAATAAGGACATGGCGCATTGTAATCAATTAATTTTTGATCATGGCAACTATTGATCGCATAAAAGGTAATCGCATGATCCAAACGATCACAGAAATCATAAGTTTTTTTGGTTTCGAGACGTAGGAAGCTGGCGAAGGTGAATTAACGACAAACAGATTTGGAAATATGACAACGTGAACAAAATTCAAATAGAATACAGAAACAGACAGTATATATGATGTATAATAATATGTTGCGTGTATCGGGGCTTAGTATGAATGAAAGTTATCGTACCATTATGTGTGATGTTATTTTTCCATTTGAATTGTTCTATAGGGATTAACATATGCAACATCTTCGCATGCACTCTTTCGGTAATTAAATTTAGCTGTTAATGGGAATGCAGACTCTTGACCCCATTGCAATATTCGAAAGTGCATTCTTTTGAACCGATGCATTAACCATTTTTGTCTCATGAATAAAGAACTCAAACTTTTGTCGCTTACGGAGTTATAAAGAAAAGATGACCAATAACTATCGATTTCACATTTTCGTTGGGCATCTCAATTATGTATAATTCATATATTTTGATGGAATAATTGTTACCTTTTGAAGAATGAAGTTTTTTTTTTTTGTAATTCAACACCTACAAATCTGCCGGGCGCTTGATAATAAGTTCATTGTCGAAAATGATCATGTCATATCATTAGTTGTTATTCACCTGTTGGTCTCCATAATGTATGCATTTCGAGCAATATCAGCCACACTAACGAAAAAGGCACTTTCTTAAAGTGGCATTAGATCTTTCCGAAAAGCAAAATTCAGGTTTTTACCACAGCCACTAAAGTTGATAAAAGGCAACCCGTCATTTCTTGCTCTCCGTGTTAGCTCCAAATTTTTTTAGTGTTAAAAAAATTTCCTCTTGACGTTCCTATTAACCGCATTGTTTTCCTAGCTTACCTTGGTGTTTTCTTTTATAATCAGTTCTTCGCTCGAAACGTGGTTTTTTTTTTTTGTTTAACTTCGATTCACTTTTCATAGCAAAGTCAAAGGCAATCGAAATAATCTTTTTTTTTTGGTAATTCTTTAACCTCTTCAACCTCCTCTTATTCAAACACATCACCATCGCATTAGCTTTTGTCCTTCTGATTAACCACTTACCACAAAACCTTTGAACTTTTCATAAATATCTTGAGTAATGGAGGATCTTGCAGCATTCGATAACAATTACTTTCACGGTGGGCTACACGAGGTAAGATTGTTCCTATAATTCAATCATCGGGAGGTTTGAGTAGAAGTTGGTGGCAATGAACATGGCAGTATACTAAGGGACTTGGAAAATCGCACGTGATTATATTTGTAACACTATTAAATAGTACGAGGGGATATCAAGGGAGATTTTCGAAAGGGACTTATCGCACATGTATGAACATCATGCTGAAGATGAAGAAGTGAGAAAAAGAGAGGCCGACGCATTTAATGATGAGCTATTACGTCATGGTCTTGTGTATTTGGTGAAGAAGAGTCTACAGAAACGAGAAGCTGCCTCATCATCACCGTCAGAAAAACGAATAGGCAAACGTGATGTCCCCAATGAGAAACGAGCATCGAAAAAGGACAACAGAACAATAGCTCAAATACTTGCGGCTTATACAGATCATAGTCAAGTTTTAACTATTCCCTATGAGTCCGAAGAACAGAGGACGAAGTATTTAAAAGAGATTCAGCAGATATTTGTAAATCCACCACAGCCAAAACTTAATGCCAACGGATGGCCAGATAAAAGTGTTTATGATCCAGCAAAGGATGTTATGTTTTGGTGGCGGAATGATCCGGTGGCAAATCAGCATCATGAGCACTGGCACATAGTGATGGCATCGATTGTCGGTAAAGATCGTGAAGGCGAAAATTTTATATACATGCACAGACACATGTTGTCAAGGTAGATAGTTGATTGCATCGAATCTGTGAGTGTTGACAGGCACTCAAACTGCATAAATGCGTGTTTTTATTTAGATACGATGCAGACCGTCTTGGATGTGGCCTTGAAGTTGTCAAACCGTTGCCCGACTACGTAACCCCTATACCAGAAGCCTTCTTTCCTGACCCATATTTAAGCCAAGATAATGATTCTAACCCATCAACTCCTCGTGTTTGGTTTCCAGCCCGTCCGGTCAATGAAACATTTAAAGACATTGGTTTGTGTGCACACATTTTTCTTTGGTGATTCGTGGGTGTGCGCACGGAGCGTTAATTTTTTTTATAATTTTATAGTTGAAGATAGTGGAGGATATTTTACTGTTTATACGGTTAAGTTCTTAAATCATACATACAACGAGTTGATTAAATGGATTGACCACAATTATACCAAAGATCATCCCGTCCAATTGGGGTGGAACGACTCTGAGGCGCTTACTCTTGGAAGTAAGATTGAGTTGGTGTTGCATAATCTGGGACACGAAATGCTCGGCTATCTCATGCATCCATACACTCTTGGTTGTAAGTAATAGATAAGTTTTTCGTATTCTTCTCGTTCATCAAATGAGATGTTTAAATTTCGCGAATCGGTTTTCAGATCCACCTAGTGTGCTGGTCGGTGCACGCGCTGGACTACGTGATCCACTGTTTTGGATGTGGCATCGCCACTTAGATCATTTGTACGTGAGATTTCAGAATCACCTGGGTCCTAACGATTTCAAAAATGATTCACCAAATGTGACTATCCGGGCGACCGACGTCTATCTCGCGTTCACCGATGTGCTGCTCAAGGCCGATCCCACTGGCAAGAAGGATGATTGGCAAGCGTTTGGCGATAAAACATTCGGTGGAGCAAAGTTTGATCTCAATTGTTCGAATGCGACGGTGGTTACCAACGAGTTACAGACAAAGATGAAGCATCGGATTTTAGAGTGGAGAGAAGATAATCATGATAAGGAGAATATTACATATGTATATCCCAGGGATTGGTATTACTTTATAAGAGTGCGAAATGACGTTGACATCGTAAATATTCAATCATTTATTTTTGTGTTGTCAATTTCACGCGTCGCACATCACAACATAAAAAAAAATTTTTTTTTTTTTCTATCGTTTAAAGACCATGATACTCACATTCCGAATATTCATCGTCCCCGCTGTGCTTGCCAACTCACCTACGCACTGGATCGAGTTAGACAAATTTAAACGTGCCCTAAAACCTTTTGAAAGAGCAGTGATAACGAGAGCATGTGATAAAGCCGTGGTAATACGCAAGCCAGCACAGAAAACCGCGGAACAAATGGACTCCACTCAACTCAACATCACATTTTTGCAATCCCTGTCAAAATACAATGACAGTCAAGTATCCGAAGTATTATTCTGTGATTGTGGGTGGCCGTACAATATGATCATACCAAGGGGGAACAGAAAAGGCATGAAATTCAAGATGATTGTATACATCTCGGATGGATTGAACGATCTTGTGCCAACCTATGATCAGTGTGGTAGTACCTTGATGTGCGGTGGTCAGGGTGTGAAAGACAAAGTGCCGGATTCTAAACCTTTCGGATATCCGTTCAATAGACCTTTTAAGAAAGGTTCTTACGTAGAAGCTTTTAAAGGATTAAACAATGTCATCATACGTGATTTCACCATAAGGCTAGTAGACAATTTCACGGAAGTATAGCTTATGTATGTTGTCACCTCGCGCGCGGATAAAATAATTTAAAATTTATTATTATTATTATTATTATTCATTTTTCATCACAATCATCCTGTATATACGTGTTTCTTCCGAAGTAACACCAACCCTACAAACATACAAAATTCGGGATACTGGATTATCTCCCGAAACGGGATCCTTTCATCCAAATCCGAAACAAAAAATACTTTGTAATATAATCATAATCTACAACCACCCTTTTAGAAAAAGATAATACTTTGGGGGAGATTTTTTTTTCTTAAAAAAAAAAAAAAAAATTTCAATAAAGGGGGAAATTTATTAATTTATCTACTGTATACGTACTGTAGTTCTTGCGATACTGTATTAGTAACAAAAGTTTTTATAAGGAAATAATAATAAAAAAATCATAGGTCGCAGCGTCGTCCTCTATTGACGATACACGCCAGATCCATCATGTGACAATGTCTAACGGTAATAATGAGATGTCGAATATCATTATGCGTAAAGGAAATATCAAAAGCAAGTTTTTCTTTACATTTTGATGCCAAACAAGTCGTTTGTTTATCGCTTAATGATGTGGATTTTAAAGGAAATGATTGTGAATGTGGTACACAAAAAAAAAAAAATCTTTTTTTTTTCCTCATTTTAATCAGCAATTGCACATTTCCTATATAAGAGGTTTCACGTAGAATCACTGATTTTTTTTTTTCAATCTTGTTTTAATCTTGTTCGATAATACACGACATACGTACCACATGATTATTCAAAAGCTTCTTTGTTATTCTTCGATTCCAGAATGAAATGCCATGATATCAGGTTTTATCATTATTTTCCCACATCATTCGACTGACTGACAAGTCAAACGCGAATCGGACGCCAAAAATGATTTCCAGGTCACGACATACGCACCAGTTACTGTACGTACATGATAACATTGTTTACAGTGTTCGCGATAAATATATGAAATTCATCAGTACTTTATCAATACTTGAAAAAAGAAAATGTCATACAAGGAAAAACGTAAAGAATACAGTACGCATATTTTAAAAATTTAAAATCTAGAGTCAAATACATGGATGTTCTTCTTTCATTATTCGAAAGAAGAGAACGTAAATTCTTACAGAAATGAGAGTACACTATGGAACAGGAATGCATAATGAAGAAGCAAAGGAAAATGCAAAAAGAAATTTATATACAGACAGGAGTGTGCTTCGGACACAAACCCTCGGTGCTTGATAGTGATAAGATAGATGATATGAATAACGATGAAAAGAAATGAAGAATAAAAGAAAAGAAAGGTTCTACCGTAAAAGAAAACCCCTATATTATATATTACACATTACGAAAAAAAACTTTTTTTTTTAACCAAATACAAAAGAAAATAAAAGAAAATAAGAAATAAAATATTTTTTAGTTAAAATCATCATTTGTCTAGAGTCAAGTTTGTTTATCTTCTTGAACAATCTTGTTTTCTAAAATGTTATTGATGTTCTATGTTCGTTCGTTGGCAGAAGGGAAAGTCGCTTAGATTCTTAACCGTGGCGGCCAAGGGGAGGATACATACTGACATCAAACTTTAACCTTTGCGTTTTTCATAATATTTACGAAGAGTTCAACCAGTTTGAACTGATCATTTTTTGGTGGCACTTTGTTGTTACCATCGACCTTCACAACTTCCGTCGGTGTGGAGGTCATTTCAGACTTCCCTACATCATCACTTTTCTTGTCATTATTATCGTCCTTATCATCACCAGCGGTGACGGTGGTGACGGTCGAGGTTCCTTCCTTAGGAATAAATATTGATAGGAAAGGAATATTCACACTCCACACTGCCATCAATCTCGCAAGTGGAGCAATGTCACGTGATGAATTTGCATCTTCTTTCTTGATGACAATGCCTTTCTCCCTCATTTCATTTAGCTGCGACCTCAATAACTTAATTGTTTCACTTGAATTGATAGAATCGCTCGAATCATGCTCACTTGAATCAGAAGAAGCAAACGTTGCAAAAACGTTGTTGGATTCATCGACAACGGAGATCGAAGCTTTCGAAGGAGCAGATAAGTTTGTAGGCGACAAAGCTTTTGGCGTCATATCCAAACTACTGCACGTGGATATCGAAGAATATTTCCACAGGTTAGGGTGAAATCTATTCTTTCGCTTCATTCGTGACGCCACAGAACTTCGCCTTGCCATTGTTTTCGATGGATCCTGTGATGAAAACGTCGAGCCGGCATAAGCAGCGGAGAAGCAATATTTCTCGTTGGGAGAGGTGCTCAATGGAGATTCGACGAAAGTGGTGTCGGTATATTTTGAGGAGGAGGCGAACGATATTGTAGAGGCACCACAGTCACTCTCTTCGTCCGATTCGATATCATCTTTTTTAGAGCAAAGTATAGAGTTGGATTTGTTGGTGGTTAAGTATTCTTGATATTCTGCCAGAAACCTTTGGACGCTTGGAGCCACCTCGTCGTCACTCTCTTCTTCCACTTCGTCTTCCAAAATATCGGCAAGGTACTCCAGATATTCGTTTACATCTGCGCAGACACGGTTGAAATCTTTTCGGACCGTTTCATCGGTGTCGCTAAGAGTGTTAAATGTGGCAAAAGACACAGTGGATGCCATTTTAATGAGATGGTAAAAGTAAATTTGGTTTTGGTTTTTGAAAAGTATACAAAAAAAGTGGAAAGTGGAATGGTAGTTTAAATAGCTGTGAAAAAAATAAAAATAATAATAGATATGTGATAATAATAATATGTCGTGATGCGGTGTAAGATAAGAATAGATAATATGAGATGGATTTAATAAAATAGATAAAATCAAATAAAACAATGGGGTTTTGCGTTCGTAACCTATCTAGGCGAACGATCTGTTTCAAGGGTGAATATCGCAGGCTTTATATGAATTTTTTTTCAATGGATATGTGTTTCTTTAGTTCTTAAAGTGTATTGTTCGTGAAACAAAACTTTGGAGATTTTCCAGCGTAAACAAAATCTTTAAAAATCTTGAGAATACGTATTTGTATTAGCGTGAGTTGGTTGTTCCCGTGATTGATTCAGGGTTTGAATCTTAATGGTTTTTTTTAAGGTTATTGTGTAATATGACAGAAAGCGCAACGGGATTTTAAGCAGGTAAAAAAAGAAAATTAAAATTAAAATTAAAAAATAAAGAAAAAGGAAAAGAAAAACACGTAATAATCAGTGGGTAAAGATTACGGACAAAGAAATCTATTTTGTTCAGAGATTTTATATAAAGTTTTTGGGTTTTTTGGGGCTGATATCGTGGAATCTAAGCCTAGTTGCCGATCGCTAAAATGAATATTTATTTTTCGATCTGCCGCAATAACTTAACAAACAATGAATCCTAAACAGTTTCTTAGATTCTGCTCATATACGTCGTGTGTAATGGAATGGTTTTCAGATATACATAGAATGATTTCCATACATATACAGTATGTATACGTGAAATGTTGTCGCTTGTTTTTTTTTTTTGTGTTAATATTTACTGTTTATTATTATTGAGGGTATATACGTTAAGAATGAGTACTAATATGATTAACTACAAGCCCCAGAATTTCTCTTTCTGGTCTCGGGTGATTTTTTCTTTTTTTTTTTCTCGTAGACTTTAATCTTCGAAGCTGCAGACAGACGGGCGTTGCATGTATTCTTCTCACGTGTGTGCGTACGTTAATGGAAGCGCGAATACCGAATTGCTATCTGACGGAGGATAGGTTTGATGTTCTTTTTTTATACCGTTTCTCGCCTAAGAAATCAGTCGGTATCTTTTTCCTTTGGTTGAAAGGCAAATCTACATTCTTTTTATAAACAAGAATCTGTGTCAGAATGCTCTATTGTGTGGTTATGGTATATCATTGTTCCAATAATTCGTTAAAGAGTTATTGATGGCTTACAATAAAACTATTTTGGAATTGGTTTGGGGATGGAACAGTGACAGGATGTGATGAACAAGGTTGGATGTAACCTTCTTTCTGAGCAACATACTGTAACATGCAGTATATTAGAATATTTGCCTTAACCCGGTGTACAATCGTCCAGATTAGGTATAGAAAAAAGAAAATGCTCAACAAAGAAACTAGATGTTGTTCCTGTTCTTGATGCATCAAATTTTGTGAGGTAATGAATGATAAGGCGGAACTGACCATTCACCGAAAGGTGACTCGCGCAATAAAACTAACGACACCAACAATTGCTCACTTCCTCAAGGTGAGACTGCGAGTGGAATGTTGAAAGTTCGTTCCCCGCGGATGAACGGGTGATATATCATGTTTTTTCTTTCTCCGTCTTTTTCATGACGAGAACTCAATAAGAATCCTCATGCATCGCCCCCTTTCCACATGCACAACAACGGAAACCTTGTTTAATTAGTAAAAGCGTGTGTCAGAAAAATCACATGAGCGAGGAGAGACGGTGCGCTATCGGTTGAGGCGCAAATGGAAAATTAGGTCTTCTCTATCTGAAGTGTAAAACTCGTAGATCTGCTCTCCTGGGAAACAATCCACATCTTTTCGAAATACTGTAAATCACGTGAATATTATCATTCGGTATAAGATCGAAAATTACTGTTCGCGAGATTATCAAAATACGATGAGAATAACACGAAAGTCATTTTACATGATGACTTGTTTGACAAATTTATCATTTCCGTCTATTCCCCAACTGTTCCAATTCAACATTTTTAATAGCTTACTTAATCGATAAGACTATAGGAAGAGATCCTCCTTAAAAAAAGTTATACAACAGCACATGATACTTCAGATCAAAGGCTTTTATGATCATGTCAGTACGTCCTGCAAGCAAGCAATGCAATATGCAAGTGATTTGGGCATTTGTTTTCATTATCATGAAGCCTGCCTTTCTTTTCTTGGAAAATTTTGTCAGCAACTTAACTGTCTAACCTTTAAATGATGCGGCGCAACGAAAGAGGAAAGAAATCAAGAAGAACCGGCACTGCCGAAAAATCATAGGTACAGTATCTACCGTATTTAGAGTCACCCTTAACGTTCACCAAAATTTGAACTCTTGATATCAAATATCGACGCCAATAAAAATTTTTAACGTGGTCATTTTTTAGTATGCACCATGAATTTTCTAGAATGTCCCTTAACTTAGCCATCATAATTCCGAGATCGTCCGGAGATACACAATATGAAACAACCCTGCTACCATTAATGCACGCCAATTCTTTATATGACATGATATAAGAAAATTTCGCTTGTGGAGTTCCTCAAGAAGAAGATCCGAAATCCAGATGAAAACGTCACTATCGTTGCATCACACACCGTTACTTCGTGGATAGCCCGCCATCATACATGCGTTACATGCAGGTTTACGCTATTAACCGAATGTGATTACACACGCTAAACCGCGCTTCGTAAACGATGCATATCTGTGCACACCTAATTTTTAGAGTCATGACGACGACAAAACATGTAACACCACGTATATGCAAGTGACGACAACGTGTAACAAATGAAATTTCGCGCCTTCACAAATATCTAATGATAGAGGATCGATAGAAAATCAATACCAAACTTGGGTTTATTGTCATGAAGCTGTCCAAATTTCGCTTCATTGACTCTTCCCTTGACCACACGCAGCGCGATGAACAGTTAACCGTTATCCTTCCGTTCAAGTTAAAAAATCGCGTTCGCATAGAACACGTCACATAATACAATAAACCAAGTTATTTCTCATCTTTTTTAAATTTCTTTAAGCACGCACGTCATTTTATTTTGAATTTTATGAACCGATGGTTAATTCGATATGGTCCAAACGGTAAGGTTGCGTTTGAAGTGTACTGATATACGTTAGCAGATAACGATAATTCCATTATACCTAACCGTATCATGTCATTCTTTCACAACTCTTGGCATAAAAAATCACAATTTCTCTACGCCAAGAGAGAACACTTGATAGATAAGAATTTACCTCTTGCTATTTTTTGGCGTCACCGTATTTAATTTCCCCTTGTTTCGAATTTAACCGGAGGATGAATGTGTTGTATTTATGAGGTGCCCGCATGTGCTCATTCGATTGGGTGTGTTCGTGTTGACTTTGTGGGTGTGAAGAATATGAATTTTCTGAACCGATTGTGAAAACAACAGAGTCAATTGGAAACAAAGAACACCCCAAAAATCTGCAATATCAAATCGTGCGTTGAATATTCCGCGTTTTAGGCACAGTCTCTGCACGCTAAATTAAAAGTAATCTCCTATCAAGAAATTAAATTCGACGCACTGCATCCTGACATCTAAGGGAAAGATGGTAATGTTTGATGGGACAAAAAGGCAGAGGCTAATCGAGAATGCATAAATAGGTCAAATTTGGGTTCATTCAGCGACCGTTTTCGCTTAACTTTTGAATGTCCAACACGTATGTGCAAGTGATTGTATATTCAAGGTTGCACTATTTATGTGATTTTATATTCAAGGTTGCACTATTTATGTGATACCACATGCGAGCTCTAAGGATCACATAATGAGAGCCTTAAAAATAGCGGGAAGGTACAAACTGTGGTTTCACTATTATGTCATGGTTTACCTAGTCCCGATAATCATTAAAAATTCGAATTCGGTACACCGTAGCAAGTAATCTAATGAATGAACCTAACAAAACTCCGACACCTGGCAGAAGAATATGATTTTTCTTTTCATTGTTTTTTTTTTCAAATTGTGCTCGCTGGTTCTTTGAGTTTTCATCACACGCAACGAATTGTACACACGACGTTTAATGGATAGGATTGATTGACGTGTCCTGTGGGTATGCACCCGGTACATTTTTAAGGCACGATGATGAATGTTTGGGGTGGAAGATGCAAGGTTACGTGAGCAACTGTAAGAGGATGGATGAGTATGATCGCGTTGATAGAAACAATAATAGAAATAGAAATGTTGAATAAATGAATTGCTTGATGGGGGAGCACGGACTACAAAGCAGAGAGGAGCATGAAGTATGAAACAAAATTTGTCGAAAAAATCGAGCGATCATACCAAATGAAATGCGACGGTGTTTGCATAATCGATAAGCATTCCTATTTCGTTATTTTGTTCGCCCTTTCTTGTTGTTTCCCTAAAATTCCCCAAGCCAATTTGATTGTGAGGAATGAAAGAGGTACGATGTTGCATCATTGTTTAGATTCGCCACTCGTCACTTTTTAAATCAAGTTTCTTTCACAAACCATACTTTTTGGTGTGCATGCACTTTGAATACCGAGTTTGTCTTTTGTTCTTGATGAGTCAGAAAGTCATGTGTAACGAGTGACCCGAGAATACAAAATTTTCCGAAAAAAAAGCATTATGTAATCTTTTTTTTTCCTTCTTCCTCCAATAGACCCTAATTCGTTGTTTGGATGACATGTTGTCATTTCGCAAAGAATTTTGTCATAATTTTTAATGAAAGCTAGAAAATTCAAGAAGAAAAACTCAAAATCACACTGTACGAGATTTCCCCTATTTACCTATTCCGTTATTACATGTACAGTAACACCATGGGATGTGGAAAATCTGACTAAATTTAAAACCATTGTAAAGCCTTAATGTTTCCACTCCACATTATTAGATTCAGGTTTTTATCAGGTGAGTATACATTCTTACCTGCGTTGTCCAA